GTTTATTTTGCAGCCTATTTGTTTGTATTGAGGCTCCATTTGAGAGCAATAATGTTAAAATGTGTGAGAGCAGAGGACAGATAATGAGGCAGTTTTTCCACTAGAACTATATTTAAAGGGGAAAATTTCACTTCTTAGAAATTGCAGCTCACTGCGACATGCAGATTCAAGAGGCTTTAAGGTGAAGGGAAAACTTTGCACGTCACCATGATAAAGAAAAAGCATAATTACAGTATGATGGTCTTTCAACAAGTTATAGTGAAGCATGATTTATTACAATACAAAAATACAATTCTGCTCTTGCTTGTCCCATATTCCACATTGGTCTTTAAAGTGAGTCTAATGTGAAATAATGGAACATTGCACAGGAAATTGTAATATTACACACAATGCTGCAATATCAGTTTCAGTATTGTTGGAAATATTTATATTTCTTTGCAATAATTCATCATCATGTGCAGTTACTTCAGTGTCATTTACAGCATTGCTTTTTCTATTCTAGTTTTATTTCAGCTCACTGTTTTTATTTGTATTTCTGCAATAATATCGTACTTACTTTTCATCTTAATGCTTTTCTATTAGACTCTGCATTCATTCTCATATTATTGCAATTTTTATACTTGAGAATTTTCTGGCAGAAGAATTTCCTTTGGGATTAGTTTAAAGTTCTATCTTAACCGCACCACCAAGTATTTATACAACTTTATAACAAGCATATAATTGACAAGTGATGTCTGAAAAGTATTGAAAGTGGACTCTCGGTTTAATAATATGGCCAAATCAAAGTAAAAGCTGGTGCACATAGATTGGAGATGAAGAGATAATTTTGTTTAAGGTGAATAAATGAAGACCAAGAATAGAGCCTTGTGGGACACCGATAATGACCTTCAGATCATTAGATATAAAACCATTTGTAACTTAAGTTTGGATTTTCTCTGGGTGACTATCCTGTAAACCCTTAATGGACTGTTCGTCTAAGATATAATAGTTTTGTCTAGTAAAATAGTATGTCAAGTCGATCAACAGTGCTAACAATTGTCCAAAAGCCATCATGTAGTTAAGAGCACATAATGCGGTGTGCTTTGGTATAATGATTTAAATCCTGACAGTTGGGACTCCAGAGTTTTCTGTAAGCAGCAAAATGAATG